CTAGAGGGCATTCACAGTTTTTTTGCCATGTGACCCTCCCTGTAGGCAGCCCACAACAGACAGCTACTTCTCCAGGGCCAGCTCCAGGCTGCTGAGATACTTACATGTGAAATGGGATCATGGAAGTGACATTACATCATTGTTGCCCATTCTAGTAGCTAAAGTCAAAGGTACCACCCGCACTACAGGGGTAGGGATTATATACAGCAACACCAGAGGGGCAAAGACCATGAGGCCATTTTAAATTCTGCCTACTATCTCAAATAAAGTTAAAGATGCAATGTGCTAGTACCTAGCGGTTTCCCTGTGTACACAAAGATATGAACAAGAATGTTCATAGCAGCATTGTTTGTATTAGCAAAACTATTGTTTTGTAGTTCTTAAATTTCTCAAAATACAAAAAGATAGTCAGAAAGACATTAGCTAATAAAACACTACGTATGATATAACATTTTTATAAAAGCAACATAAATAGTGTGCCCCACTCAAAATTTATACACAGTTTGAATAATTATATAAAGGGCAGCGTTTATTAAAATACATTTCATTTTCAAAATTGAGCTATCAGCTGTTAAAGTGTGTATACAGCACTAACCGGTTTGGCTCAGTGAATAGAGTGTCGGCCTGTGGACTGAAGGGTCCCGGGTTCGATTCTAGTCAAGTGCATGTACGTTGGTTGTGGGCACATCCCCAGTAGGTGGTGTGCAGGAGGCAGCTGATCGATGTATTTCTCTCATTGATGTTTCTAACTCTCTATTCCTCTTCCTTCCTCTCTGTAAAAAATCAATAAAATATATTTAAAAAATAAAGTGCATATACATTTTTTGGGACACCCTGTACATCAGAATTCTCTTTCAGGAATGGCCTGCTGCTGTTGTCTTGAACAAACCCTCCCACCATTGAGAAAAACTGGACAAAATAAAAAACATTAAGGCACTGAACTGTTACCATGGCAGTGAGAATTTGTGGGTCCAAGATCTGGAAGAAAAGGGAGCCATGAGAGAAGATCTAGATATTTGCCATCCCTTTTCCCACCTGAGGTGATTGCTAATTCTGAAAGCAGTGGCTGGATAAAGCGTTTGGCTGTCTCATCTAGCTTCAGAGGCCTGGCTGAGGAAAAGCCCTCGTAAATACACCAGACTTTTGGTTAACTTAAAAATAAAAGGCCTTCAAAGTGAGAGGCAACAAAGAATAGCTATTCAGGAAACACTGATTCAGAAAGAAACCCAAATAGTGTTCCAAGTAGAGACAAAGGCAAGGGATATTTATGAGAAAGTAAAGGGAACAATTACATTAATAGAAGGAAGTAATTTCTGTTGGTGCAGATAACAAAATAGTGATGCTAATTCCAAACAGTTTTTTAAATGTTTAGTCCGGTTTTCATTAGTCTGGTAGAAATACTACCTGCTTTCTTGTTATCTTTGCAGCAAGTTCTTTGGGGCACGTGTTGCATTAGGCCCAATCCAAAGGTTATTTTGCTCTGCTTTAACATTTGAGACATAAGATAGGTGTGCAAGGCAGTTCCAGTGGGATGACAGCTCTGGCCCCATTTTAAAGTGACTCGGATATTGTTCTTATAGTTGGGATCCTCAAAGGATACCCCAACTAGGATTAACGATGACCTGGAAATGAAATAGTTTTCACAAAGACTAAAGTTCGCCTCTGAAGACTCTTAGCTCCTGATGGGAATAAAGTGGCCAGTCCTCAGTTTTCCTGTAGTCAGGCATACTTGCCCCTAAGTCTCTCAGAATACCTTCCCTTTCCCTAGCCCTCTAACTTAAACTCAGCTCTGGTCCTAGAAAACACATCATCACTGGGGAATACTGATGCTGCAGAGGAAGATCCAGGACAAATGAATATTGTATAGCCTAAGATTCTGGTAGTGTGATCCTCTTTCCCACACTTATAAATATATTAAGCTACTTCATCTCTTTCACCTTGCTTCTTAGTGGGTGTTTTAAATCGATATGGGGGGCGGAATTCATCAACATGGACAATAGAGTGATGATTGTGGGGTCACAGGGGATGGGTGAAGATGATGGAGGGAACAGAGGAGATAAAAGGTGATGGGAAAAATCAAAAGAATTTTTATAGTAAAATGAATAAGTTGGTATGATAAATCATGACCCACGTGAGACTTTCTATTCTTTGACCCCTGCTTTCTTGGTTTCAGTCTTTTTTTTAAGCCACTGCTCAAAAAGAATTCACATACCTACACACACATACACACACACACTCACACACACACTCACACACACAAATTCACACACACACTCACACAAACAAATTCACACACACACACACACACACACACACAAATTCACCAGGCGGATGTGGGCTACCTAGGAACCAAGAGGTCACAGTTTGATTCAGGGCACATGAGTTCCATCCCCAGTAGAGGCTGTGCAAGAGGCAGCTGATGGTTGATGTTGCTCCCTCTTATCAGTGTTCCTATCTATCCCTCTCCCTTCCTCTCTCTCTTTCTATTGTAAAATCAACAAAATCATTTCTAAAAATCCTACCAAATTTAATAGTAACAGTTATTCACCTCAAATTTTCTTTTGTGGGTACTGATTGAGAGTAAACCAAGTATTTGTGTTTCATCAAGTGAGTTATTATTTTTTACTAGAGACCCGGTGCACAAAATTGGTGCATGAGAGGAGGGGGTCTCCTCAGCCAGGCCTACACCCTCTCCAATCCAGGACCCCCTCGAGAGATGCCCAACTGCCGGGTTAGACCTGATCCTTACACAATCAGGATCGCTGGCTCCTAACTGCTCACCTGCCTGCCTGCCTGATCTCCCTAACCTAAGGTGACCAGACGTCCCGCTTTTGGCGGGACTGTCCCGATTTTTAACAATTTGACCCACATCGTTTTAAAAAAGTCCTGATTTTTGGAAAGAATGCACGACAAGCTACCGTAGGGTAGGGAATATATGGTTTTCGGCAGCCATGTAGCTATTTAGCCAGGATATGAGTTTTATATTATTTTTGTTAATTTTATAATGTTAACTTTAATAATAACAAATAATTGTTGAGAACTGATTATTGAGAACTGCTTATCAAAGTTCGCATTGTTGATCAGTTGTTAGAATTCAACCACCATTGTTTGGACTTAATGACCAATGGCATTTTTTGGGATTGGCAACGACGAAAACATTTTGTAACTGTCTCTCACAAATAACTGCGAAAGTCGAATATCAGAAAATACTTGGATAAAGTAAAACACGCTGATTAGCTCTTTTGCCAGCTGTCAAAAGAATTTTGAAAATATACGATCCTTTGAAATCCTACTTTCTATCACAGGATAAATGTCCTAGAATGTTAGAAGAGTTTTTTTTAAAAAGAATCTTCAAAAATTTGGCTAGTGTTTGTACACAATCAAGCAGCTTTTTTTTTTTTTCCAAAATGCTGTAAAAATTATTGAAGGTGACAAAATTTCGGTAATCAAAGTAGCAAATGAAGTTAATAATTTAAAATTTCATTGTCAAGTAAAGCAACAAGCAGATTGTCAAATTACAGCGGGGAGGGGAGGAGGATCTGGGGGAGATAATAGATCAACCGAAGGACTTGTATACATGCATATAAGTACAACCAATGGACATAAAACTATGAGGAGGGAGGGGATATGGGGGAGGGAGGGAGGGGGGCAAAAAAAATCATTAAAATATGTAAAAAAAATAAATTAATTAATTAATAAAAATAAATAAATAAATAAATAAATAAAATTTCATTGTCAAGAGCGGTTAGAAAATAATTTTCTTCCGTTAACTATCCATAATAGTATAAGCCAGCTAGAAGAACAAGGTGCAATAAATCAAGCAGATATGAATCACGTCAAAAAGTTCTATAGTAACTGCATAGATTACTTAGAAGAGTGGACGGTACATTACAATGATATTGAACATTTTCATTGGGTTACATTAAAACAAGATCTTAATTAGAATGATGTGCAAAAATCATTCTATCATATTACTCAAAATTTCCCATACAGTAATATTTCCTAAAATGATCTTTTTAATGAGGTATCATTATTTAAAAATATATATTGATAAGGAAAAGGTTAAATCTTAGGCATCAGCAAAAATCACAATAGAGAACAAATGGTTAGAAATATTTCATCATTTTGAAACAAACCATGTTCCATACAATAATGCACTAAAAATTGTGGAATACGCGCTGTCCTTACCAGGAACTAATGCTGCGACTGAACGCGTTTTTTCTAAAGTAAATAAAGTGTGGACATCAGAAAAATCACAATTAAGTGTCGGGACTTTGAAAGCCATTTTATGTGTGAAATATAATTTAACAAATTCTTGTGAAAAATTTCATGGCCTTTTAAACATCGACAGCAATCTACTAAAAACAATTCACTCAAATGAGAAATATGCTAAAGAATAAAATAATACTATACATAATTTATTTATTTATTATATTTGTAAATTGTACTTATGTTGAAAATTTAAAAAAATATATTACAATACTATTTTTGCGTCCTATGAAAATTTTTGTTGCTCCATATAGACCAAATTTTTAATCAAGGACCCCCCCCCCCTCAACAGTGTCCCGCTTTACCAATGTTAAAAATCTGGTCACCGAGCCAGGGGTCCTCAAACTTTTTAAAGTGGGGGCCAGATCACGGTCCCTCAGAGAGCTGGGGGGCCGGACTATATGAACTACTAATTCCTACTGTAACACCTCGGCTGCGCTCACTGCCCAAAAAACCTGGCGGGCCGGATCAGACTCCTCTGCGGAGTAATATTATATAATAATATTCTACTAGTCTACTAGTAGTAGTCTACTACTAGTAGTAGTAGTCTACTAGTAGTAGACTAACAGCAAAGGCTTCCAGCAGAAGGTCGTTGGAAGACTACAACTCCCGGCAGCCTTTGTAGCAGGGCAGCGGAGGGGCGTGCGCAGGCGCGAGGGCCGGCCCCCCACGCGCAGACGCACTGCGAACGCCGGCTGAGCTGGGTCTCGCTGCTGGTGCGCGGCGGCGGAGAGCGAGGCCTGGTGAGCCCCGCGGAGGTGCGAGCCGACTCTCGGAAGCTGTGTGCGCACTCGGTGCGGCGGGCCGGCGAGCGAGCAAGCGGCTCACCCCCACAGTGGCACCGGGATCGGCTGCCGTTAGCCTGGTGAGTGCGGGGGTGCCCCCACCCCGTGGCTCCCGGCCCCTCCCCCTCTCCCTCCAGCCGGCGGATCCGGCTGTTCGGCGGGACCCTGGAGAGGTCCCGGGGCGCGGGCGGGCGGGCGCCGGCCGTGCTCGAGCTTGGTTTCCTGGGCCCAGGCGCTCGCCCCGCGTGTGTGTGCGTCACGGGCCCGGCTGTCCTAACGGCCGCGCGACCGGAGGAGGGGGCAGGGTGGGGGCGGGGAGCGTGGTGCGATCGCCATAGGGGACGCCGGTAGAGGCGGGGCGGGGCGGGGCTGGAAGCGGCGGCGCCGGGGACTGCGGGGCGCCCAGGCCGCCGGGCGGGCGGGCGGGCGGAGCGGAGACGAGCGCGGGCGGCGCCGCGGCCGGCGCGGACGGGCGGGGGTGCGCGGCGCGGCGCGGCGCGCGGTGACAGTGGCTGGGAGGAGCGACGGCGATGGGGGCGCCTGCCCCGGCCGGAGCGAGGCGGGAAGGCACCGACCGGGATTCCGGAGCCGGTGGTTGGGAGGGCGGTGCCGGGGGCGGAGTCCGGGTGGAGGCGGCCGGCCGGCGGGCCGCAGTTCACCGATGTCACAACGGCGCGGGCCGCCGCGGCCGCCGGGGAGTGGTAATTATAGGAATGACAACTCCGTCTGCACCGGAGCGGGCGTGGAAGCGGCGATTCGAGGGAGACAGCGACGTCTTAGGCTCCAAATGGGAGGAGGCAACCGAAGGATGACTGGAGTCCGGGGGAGTCGCCTGGAAGGAATTTTTGTTGTAGGTTTGAATGGAAGTATGTAATGTTCCACTTTTAAGTGGACGGTTTCACCATAATTGATTTTTTGTAAGGTTTAAATTCAGAATAAACAATTTTGAAGTATTTTTTTTTCTAAAAACACTTATTATATAATATTACTTTTCCAATCTGTATTCCTTCAGTAAAACAGTTTCTTCAAAAATCCCTATTTCTTACCAGTAGATAAGTGATTTTCCCCCCCTCCCTCTTGTTGCTTCAAGTCTCATTCTCGACATTGTTTTTTTCTTTCACTAGTTCTTGCACTTATGGTAGTATTTTGAAAAGAATTCACAAGTTATCCCCCCCTCCGTTTTAAACATTGAAAAGATGACATTTTAACTTTTCAAAAGGGGAGTGAGAGTGGTTGTGTTTTTACTGTAATAATTATTCTTAGAAGGGACTGTGTTATGTGTAACTAGAGGCCCTGTGCATGAAATTCATGCACTGAGGGGTGGTTGGGACCCCTTAGCCTATCCTGTACCCTCTTGCAGTCCCGGAGCCCTTGGGGAATGTCTGACTGACTGCTTAGGCCAGCTTCCTGTGGGGAGCGCACCTAAGTTGACAGACATCCTTAGTGCTGCCACGGAGACCGCTGCTGTGCTCACCAAGGGCCCACTGACCACTGGGGGCAGCTCCTGCATTGAACATCTGCCCCCCTGGTGGTCCTTAAGCTTCACAGCAACATAGGTCCACTGGTTGGTCAATTTGCATATTAGCCTTTTATTACATAGGAAGATTACCTATTTAAGATTGAGGACATGAGCGAAAGTAAAGGAATTAATGTTTGTTGAAGTCCTTTTAAGATATTGTGCTAAATACTTTATGTATATTAAAACACTTAATGCTTACAGTAACTGAAGTAGGTAGTAATTTTTCCTATTCTACAGATGGAAGTTTTGAAGATCAGAGAAGTTAGGTAACTTAGCTAAGGTCATCCAGCTCCTGTTGGAGCCAGCCTTAGAACCCAAAGTTACTGCCATTTTATGAATTTTTTTTTCATACTTATTGGTTGTGTTTTCTTTAATCCATTCATTCAGTGAATACTTACAGAGTGATCATGTGCCCCAAGGCTGGGGATATAGACATGATCAGGACACTGTTTCTGTCGTCATGGAATTCATAATGTATTGGGGAACACTAACAAATATTGAACATAAATTCTATATGATATTTTATCTGTCGTAATTGAGCAGAAACTGTAAAGTATTCTTCAAATAGCAAAGAAAGTTCAAATAGAATCAAACAATATAATCCTTGAGTTTACAGTCTAGTAGGGAAACAAAACACATGTTTATAAAAACTTAGGATAAACTAAATGATAGAAATAAATGCCTCACCTGAAGTCAATATACTTGCATTATGTTAGTTTAGGTGTTTAGATAAATTTCTTCACAGAACTATGATTTAATATGCACCTTGACTTTTATCCAGAATTAGTATATAAGAAAAAGCAACATGAAAGATATCTTCATTGCAATCCAAGACATTATTTCTAATTTACTTATCAATTTTTAGAAAGTAAGCGATCTTGGAAAAAATTAAAAAACAAAACAAAACAAAACAGTGATAGGCCTTTTTCTTTTCTATTTTTACTCCCTCCCTCCCTCCCCACCCCCCACCCCCCCCTTTTTTTTAAAGAACTACTTTTATTAGATCATTTGTGTTTTGTAAGCCATTCTGTTTCACTTTGCACTTTGGCTGCCAGGAGCTTTAGAATATTGACTAATTTTCCTTAATTTCAACTATGTTATAAATTATACCAGATAGTCTGGAATTGCTCTCAATTGACTCCTGGACTATTTTCTTCCTTGTTGCTCTCGATTTCGTTTTGTATCTTTTCCTTTCATTTGAAAGTAGAAATTATATCTTTTAATTTACAGTGTTTTAGCATAGTGTTTGTTGAGTTGATGATAAAGTCTTGATACTTTCTGATGTTTGTATTTTTACAAATGTCAGATTTATTTCAGAAGTATGTATGAATATTTTGAAGAAAATAAAATTAAGACTTTGGTTATGCAAATAAAGATGATTGAACCTACTGATAAAGATAATTCTCTATTACTCTCTTTGTTTTAAGATCTCTGTACTTTACTAGTTACTATGAATTCAGCCATAATGGAGAAACCATTGGAAATGGTAAACAATTTAATTAGCTGATTGGGGTTGATTTTACTCTATTCTTGCTGCTGTAAGCAGGAGGTAGTCCCTACACTAGAAAACGAGGCCCTGCATGGAAAGAGCAGGGTTGAAGACCAGTGAAACAACACAGTGTTTTGTTTTGTTTAAAGATTTTCCAACTCATCAAATCAGATCTAAGTGATAAAATGGTTCTGACCTAGTGTAGTAGAATTGGGACAGTTATTGAAAGCAGGCAGTAATCCAGAATGTGGATAATGGGGATAATCTCCCCAACATAACAAGAAGAATACTGCCCTTTATATAAAAAGATAAGTCTGCTTACTGATCATCATTGATTTTTCAGTGTGAGGAGGGATATGTGCTGAATTGTCCATGAGTCTCTGTACTCTGAGATCCGCAAAGCAGCGTGGGGTCAAAATGTGGGTTTGTAGCTAGGAAACAGACAAGCAGAAAGTTTTAACATCTATTGATGGGTCAAGCACTACTATTATACATCTGGTGCTCTGACTTAATTATCCTTGCAAAACCACATTGAAGAGGTGGTTATCTGTATAGGATAGTTTGGTAACTTGTCCTACTTCACAGAGTAAGTGCTGGAGCTTGGATTCAAACGCAGTGTTATTTGGACTGTGTTCACACCAATCATTAAAGCTTGATTTTGCTTTGGTTTGCAGTTCAGTGTCTCCAGCAGAACAAACTAGACATAGTTTGTTTAGTATCTTGAAGTAATGTTGTGAAGATTTAATTTACTAAAAGGTGAAAGCTGTTCCTGTTCCCTGCTTTATTATTATTAACTTAGAGTAATATCTGAAAACTGTCCTTTCCCCAGCTTCTGCATTTTTCTTTCTTTTAGCTGTTTCCTCTTTCATATTTATAAATAACTTGGTTCTATTGCTATTTCCTGATATAGCAGTTTTGGACATTATTAACTTTTCTCCATATCTCCACATTGCCTCTCCCATCTTCCCAATATAATTACCACAGATATTTATTAAGTAAATATTTAGTGTGTTTACAGTATTACAATTTTCAATATTCAGAGCTGAATCATGTAGTGTATTATGTCATTTATTAATTTAATCAATTTTTGTTTTTTCCAGGAGTTATTATCCACCCCTTCATTTCCTGAGACAATTGTCCTGTAGTCCTCTATCCTTTCAATGCAGCCTGGATGGCTACTTTCTAGCCTACTTCATAGTTGCTATCCTGGAATTTGTCTTTATGTCATCCTTAAAATTCTCCTTGATCCTTTTCTTTATTCCTATATTTTCTTAGCTTCCTGAGAAAGAATACCTGGGAAGTAAAGTAAAAAATTCCTGAGTGCTTGCATGATTGAAAAAAATCATCATCTTACCAAAGCATTTTATCAATAATTTGGGTATAAAATTTTAGCCTTAGAAATTTTGTAAGAGCTCTATTGTTTTATGCATTCTAGTGTTGCAGTTGAAGTCCAAACCGATTCTGATTCTTCTTTTTTATATGACATTCCTCCAGTCTATAGAAGCTTTTAGGATATTATTTTTCCCCCCTGAATTCCATAATGATATGTCTAGATGTGGGCCTTTTTTCATTTAAGGGCATTCCAGGGAGCCTTACAAGCTGGAAATTCATGTCTGTTCTGAGAGATTTTCTGTTATTAGTTGTCTTTTGGCAAAATAAGTTTTACAATTAATCTCAGTTCTTGACATCTATCAACAGGCTATACAAGCTCCTTTAAGTTTTCATTTTTGAGCCCTGTTTTCATACCCTTTTCAGCAAGCAACCAATCCACTGTAGTTGATAATTCCTGGACTGCATATGAATTATTGTAAATTACTTAGAGGGTATGTGTGTATTTAGTTTATGTACACTTATATGCCACTTAATGACATTTCAGATAATGACAGACCACATATACAAATAAAATAATGGAACTGAAAAATTCCTGTCCTCTAGTGACACCATGACATCTTAGCCTACGTGTTTGTGGTAATACTGGTGTAAGCAAACCTACTGCACTGCTAGCCATAAAGAAGTATAGCATATGCAGTAGGCTATACCATGTGGGTTTGTATAAGGGCATTCCATGATGT